AACATTAAAACAATTAATGAAATTTCTATTTTTTACATCAAAATGTGTATTTTTTATTTCATAATTATTCTGGGAAAAATTAAAAGGAAAACATTACTCATAAGGGGTGATGGTTTACTGAATTGATATGTACAAAAATATTTTGAATTTATTTTATTGACGATGATGGATGCAAGACAAAAATATTGACATAGTCTAAACATTGTTTTCATATGAATGAAGTTCATTTACCAAAAACAATGGACTAAGTCCATATTTAACATTTAAGACTTCCTTGCACAATAAATGGTCTAATATAGAAAAGATAACCCCTCGTCCCATACAATTCTTCTTGCTTTGATTTGAATTAGAGTTTAACAGGTGAGAATGAAGTGGAAATGTATGATTGTTATTGTGTAAGAATAAAATAAATAAATAAATAAATGTTAGCTACACAAAACTTTCCAAAAAAGAAAATTAGAAATTTTTCTGGGACATCCCAAAAAACTTGGTTAAGTGGGAATAATTTTATGTGATGAAAGAAGTATTTGTACATGTCCAAATCCATACACACCTAATACACGCTGACGTGTTTGTGGGGGTATTTCGTGTCTGTAAACAGCGTATTCACAGACAAACAATACCTTACAGACGGTGTTTATAAGCGCGTATGGATTTAGTCTGTAGTACTATGTACAACAAGAATTTCCCTTATAATATTGATTGATAAAAGAATGACAAGAAATCTTGTTTTTTTTTAATATAAAAGAGCGGATTTTTATATTATTATCGAGAAATCAGATAAAACAACCTCCAGACAGTTATGCTCGAGCCAATCGTAAGCCCTAGGAATAGGCATAGAATCAATTACCTCATACAAAGCAACCTGATTCGCTAGATACAAAACGAGCAAATTTAAACCTAAAACAATCGAAACTGAAGTCTGCCTATCAATAATACTCCATAAATCCAAATATCCAAATCAAATCTACTCGAAATAAAATAAAAATAAATACTACCAAAGGAAAAATTAAATTGAATTAAAATCATTGCACAGAATTCTTCCTGGCGCGAAGGTGATTCTGGAGGAGGACGAGCCCAAAAGAAAGCAGCCACAAACCCTTGACCAGACGAAGCTGGTCGAGACACCCAAACAACTCCCCGCATCGAGAGAGACAAAACACCGAAGCGCTAGTGTCCGGGAAAGAACTGCCAAAGCACAGAACAAACACAACCAGAAAAGAAAAACAATCCAAATTGATCATACCTGTACCAAGAATCTCCGCTATTTAGAACAAGACATAGAATTTGCTATTTGTTTGTATGCATGTCTCTACTCTTTTAGTTTTATATGGATTTGGGGGCTGGACGGCGGCTGCACTCCTGGAGATTGGAGGCAGGCAGGCAACAACGGCGAATCAAGCTGGAGTGCAAGAGGTTTTGACTCAGATTCCCACCCAAAGTGCGCCGCCGGCGGCATAAAAAACTTGGTTAGAAAAAGAGAACACCAATAATTAATTACAATTAACACATACCTTCAAATAATAGCCCTCAAAAGAACACTTGATCTTATAAATGTTAATACTTTGTACTATGTATTATTTAAGGGGAAATTTGACTTTGCGCCCCACTTTTTGGATGATATTGGACTTTGCATCCCATTTTAAAAAAACTTTGACTTTGCAACCCCAACACATACCATTTTGTGAAGTTCTAAATGGGGTGCAAAGTCAAAACAAATTTACGTGGAATGGGGTGCAAAGTCCAATATTAGGGGTGGACTCGGGCCGGTTCGGGCCTGGGCCCGGCCAGGCCTCGGTTCATGAAAGGGGAGGCCCGGAACCGGCCCGGGTAACCCCCGGGTCCAGTTCAACTTATTTTTTTTTGGCTTTTCCTAAATAACCCCCCACCCCCAAACCACCCCAAACCACCTCAAATGGCCCAAAATACCCAGCCCAACCCAAAAACTTAAAAAAAAATTCAAAAAAAAAAACAAAAAAAAAACAAATAGGCCCGGACCGGGCCCGAACCGTCCGGGACGGTTCACCTTTTCAAGGGCCCGAGCCCGGCCCGAAACCCCAGCGGGTCGGGCCTACCCGGACCGGTCCCTGCCGGGCCGGCGGTTCGGGCTGGTTCAAACAGTGACAGGGCCGGGCCGCCCGGCCCGAGTACACCTCTATGCAATATCAACCAAAAAGTGGGGTGCAAAGTCAAATTCCCCCTATTATTTATTAACACAAAATTTGTTTGTTTAGTTTAATGAGGACTACGTATATTTAAGAAGATGAAATTACTAGAAAAGTAAAAAAGAAAAGAAGGCAGTAGTGTGCAATAACTAAAAAATTAAGTGTAATAAAATGAGAGTATAAATGTATTTTAACTGAAAAATTACTCAAAAATGAAAGAGAGATAATTAAAAATTCATGGACAACGGATTGCACAATGGACTTGGTTTAATTTAAAATGTAAATTACAAAAGTTGAAAAATAAATGGTAAAAACTTGAGCAAGAATTACATGCTTATCAAATACAAACAAGAATTTATGTTTTAGATTAAGAAAACTCTAGCTGTGAATTAATGAAAAAGTTATTACCCTAAATAGGACTAAAACAATAAAGAAGTTCCAAAATGGGAGTGGTTATTGATTTATTCTTTAAATATGACTTTTTAATTGACCATCCGTTCCTTTTTCCAGATTTACCCTCCCACACACAATCAAATATCTCACTCTCTATTAGCGGTCATATTTGTCACCCACCTGCACAAATATATTCCTTCTCAATACAACTTTTATTTCTTGATTCGACCATGCCTCATCATCCCTCACCTACCTTCTTTATCAAATGCATCTTTACAAAATTAAACTTATTTCTCTTGAGGATTTCAAAGGTGGAGACGTTGTCCCCATCTCCGGCAGAAGGTTGAGACGATGCTCCCCATCTCTAGCAGCCACCTCTCTCAAGATCTCTTCCGTCGCGATTTCTCATTCGTCTCTCTTCTACACCGTAACTGCAGTCATGTGTCGTAACTCTGGCGATATACCGCCTCCTCCTCCATCTTCTTCTCCTCCATCCTCACTTCGGCCTCTCTTTTCTTATTTTGAAATTATTGCTACTCTATATTGCTTCATATGTTTAATTTTGAGATTCAAAAATGAAAGTGATGCTATTTTGGATAAGTAACTTTTGGATTGAAAATTGTGAGACTCCAAAAATTACTTGCATAAAAGATTTTGGATCTATTTTAAAAATTATTTCGATTTTACTATTTTTTTAAAAATAGATTAATTATTTTCAAATAATAGGAATTTTTTTTATAATTAAGTGTTCTTATTAATGAAAAAGAAAGTACAAAAACGAAGCAAGGAAAAAAACAAAGAAAATAACGAAAGAGTAAATAAAAAACCAACCCACGGTACAATAACTCCCCCTAACAGAAGTCCCTCAGATCAAGGTTTCTCGCGAGTTTGAGATCTTGTCCTCATGTGATGTGATCGCCGCTTACTCTTCCTATACATTCCAATGCTAGTGTTCAAATTACCTGTAGGTAAGTAATTTTCTCTTGTGATCAACAAAGCTTTGTGACAAATTTCTCGATTTTCATCAGAGTCCCACAAATCTTCTACCGCCGAGATTGGGACCCTATTCTCATTTTCCGAGGCATGACCAAGATATTCATTCTCCGGATGTGAAAAGAACGAATCACTATATGCTTCCTCAAAAATAATAGGAGTTTTTTTATGTTGCTCTGATTACATTGTAAGCCAGTTGACAAATGATTTCATTAATTAATACAAGCTGTCAGTTGATGATAAAAAAATAGATTTTTTTTTTCTTATAATGCCATTTTAAGATGACAATAAAATACCATGTTTTTGGTAATTAATGCCATCACAAAGCTATAATATCATGTTTTTGACAATTAGTGCCATGACATGGAAGATAATACGGAGTATGTCATTAATTGACAAGTCCTTAAGATGACACTATGACTCAACTTTTATGTTTTTGAAAGCACTGCATTCAGATCTACATCAACCACGTCGGAGGAGACGGTGGTGTTAGAAGACACGTCTTCCACACTGTATGAGAAGGTTGTGCATAGTCAGATCGGGGAAAGCCCTTCTATTTTAAAAAACTGAGGGCGGCGGCAATGTCAGATGAGGTGGCGATGACGATGCTGGAAGCAACGGTGGCAATGGAGAAAGTCGGCAACCGACTACAGAGGCATCAAGCAGCAGTGCTGGCAACAACGATGGTGACAACTGAAGGCGGCAGTGGCAAGTCACGTCGGCGGCAATTGCTAATGGGGACTGGTGTAGGCAGCAACTTGTGGGGTGGTGGTTGTGCAAGAGTAATGTCAGCTTTTATTTATTTTTAAAAACAGAATTTGTATTTGGGCTTTTATTAAGGATAATTGTGTCAGCTCATGTTTTTTTAAGTTCTATGAAACTATACGGAACATTATGGGTGGAAACAGGCCAGGACAGATCAGACTTTTGGCTAAACATGCTGAGCCTGTTTTAGAACTAATAGGACTGAGCCTGACTTGTTACCTGTTAAATGCCTGTTTTTTCGGTCCAAGTCTGGGCTGTCTAAAAGTCTAGCCTGACCTGAAGCCAGTTTAGTGGGCCTGTTAAGAAAAAATAAATCAAAAGTTCATAAAAATAAAAAATAAAAACTGAAAAATCCTTTTAACCCGATATAAAATTTATCCCCCAAATATTTACAAAAAGTCTAATTATACGACAATTTTGTTTTGAATGTCTAATAATACATTGTTTTTTAATACGTCAATTATGTAGCTTATAAAATTTTTATGCACTTTAAATCTTGAAAAACTTTGAATTTCAATCACCCTAATAACCTATTAACACACTTTATATATTTGAAATAGCTAGTATTCTAATTTATAATACATACTCCATAAAAATAATATTGTGCCTAATTTGCTATAGTTAAGTATATTAATATATAATTATAAATAATACAAATAAATTTGTAATGTTGTACTCCATCAAAACCATACCACTCTTAAAAAAAGCAGTTCACACAAACAATTTCTACAAAATAAATTGGAAACAAGAATAATATGATGGTGAATTTAGTTATTATCACTAGAAAAGTATTTAAAGTTGCATACATTATTCTCTGTTTTGGACAATCTCACCTATATACTATCGTATATTTTTTGTCTAGCCCAAGTGGGGTGGGGGTGGGGGGGTGATCTTGGCTACGTCCTTGATGCTACCCATGCTTGTATTACAATCTCACCTATATATATTTTTTGTCTAGCCCAAGTGTGTGATAGTAATAGCGAACCGGGCATAAGAATTATCTGCATGATATCAATGGTGTCCCACCCATCCCTTTAATGGCTTTAAAGTAGTGTTTCCCTATTTCTTCTCAAAATCCAACTGAGAAGCACTCTTATTCTGTGTTGCAGAGATGAGAAATGGTTAGATTTTTTATCCAGAACAGGACAGCGTACACTGACAGGGGTTCTTTGTGCCATTGGCTTCATTCGGCAAAGAACGTCGGGCGTCTGGGACTCTGGGCCCAACCCCCAAAACAAACAATACCCTTCCACTTGATGGTTGTGAATTGAGACATTAAGAACAGCCTGCATTTTAAAACAAAGCTCAAAAAACTTCTGCGACAAAAACTTGGGTTTGCCTGAGTTAGGTAGCACATGTTCTATCCATGATATGGTTAATGGTGACAGAAAAATATAGCCAATCTTGGCTCTATGTGCAGTAGGAAATAGGAATGGAAACAGCCTGGCTTCTGGACTGGTCCTGAACCAGAACCGAAAACCAACTGTTTTCCAGTTCAGTTCCTGTAATATTTGACAACACTAGCAGGTTTAGTTCCCATTTTTAATAATAAGCTACAAAATAATACTGAACCGGATGTGATCTAAACCATCAGTTCTACCAAACCCGTAAACTGTATTAGCAGTTCCAGTTAAGCTTCCTTTGAGGGTGGGGGGAGGAGACTGGCCTATGTCTCGCCCCTGATGTGTAGTTGACATTTTACAAGCAAATCTTCTCACAATCTCACCTTTCTTATTTCGTCACCAAACAAGCATTGTGAGGAAAAAGTGGCGGAACCAGAAACATATTTGAAGAGGGGCGGATCAAATTCCATATGAGACCGTTTTGCCTGTTGCTTTCTTTTTTACCAAAAGACCCACTATTCCGTTTTACAAATTGTTATATAGACATAGGTAATCTAACAAATTAAAAAAATATAAATCATAAATTTCAAATATAAAATTATAAAATGTAAAATTTACATATTACACATATTTTTTTGAATAATATAATAGTCATTTTTATTTATTTAGGTTATTTAAACTAGTACTCCGTATACAATTAAAACTAATACACAAAATAAAGATTATTAAAAAAATCAAAATCGGAAAGTTAAATACCAAGTAACTAAATTGAGAGATAAAATTAGTAATTGAGTATGAAACCAATTGCTAAATTGGTAAAAGCATAAACAAAATCAACAACTCAGTAAAATTTAGTTTATACTCCTAATCCACTAACTCGTATCGGAGCATAGGCTGTATAGCACAACAAGTGCACAACTCACCAATTGAATGAAATTAACTTAGTCAACAAACCTTTAAAAAGTAAAAAAGAAGTTACCACAACTTCTAAGCTGTTGCCTTCCGCAGCACTCTCCTACGACCCTGCATCTTATTTTCTCGACAAGTTCGCGTCTCAACTGTCCATTTACCCTCTTAAGTTTGATGGTTGTGCGACGTCGTTACAAAACTCGTATCATTTAATCAAACGGCGTCGTTTGAAACTTTGATTTCAGTTAAAATAAACGGCCCAACGTTGAAAGGTCAGAAGAAACGAGGGCAGAGCTGTCGAGCAGGTGCGGAAGGGAAAAGGTAGAAGATGACCGGGGTGCCATGAAACTTATACCTATACATACCTAAGCATCTCCGGCGAAGGGGTGGCGCCGGCTCGCACCCCCCTAGTTTCGCCACTGTGAGGAATTATCACATATCTGGCTTGTGTCACTGGCATTGCGGGGATACTAGGCCACAGCTCCCCCAAATTTGAAGTGTACATCTTATGAGTAAAAAATTGCATGAAAATTTGTTAGAAAAGCTCTTTGTACCAGGGCCTACCCTAAAAAAGCTCTCACTACGCCCCTCTGGGGTGGGGGACCCCGAACCTAAGCCACAACATGTTGTGTAAGGATTTTTCAACCTATCAAATTGTGATTATAAAAATTATATTAATGAACTATTTTTGGGTTCACCCCAAAACTCAACTTCTGGGAACCCCAGCTATATATGTCTGTTACCGCAGATGACACTCCACCTGAGATTTGCAAAGATGTATAGAACTATAACTCTAAAGTAATAAAATAAAATCTTTTTAGTGGTGAAGTAGTAACTTACTTAAATCACCGCTAGATCGGGGTTCACAGTATCTTTCTTGTTCTCAAATATTTATACATGAGAAAAAATGTAACAACAGCACCAACAATGATCCCGGCTGTTGTTAGCCAAAATGCGAACTGCATACAGAGGTTAGCAAGTAGAAAATCAGACATACATATCAATATTATCACTATATTGCCCTTAGATGAGAACACAGTAATAGCTTTAGAGATTAGAGATTACAAACCGCTTGTTCTTCAAGGTAAGATCTCAAATTCATACCAAATATACCTGCAGACATAACTCAATGGTTATTATTAATATATTATATATTATATGCACTGGATAGCATATCTTTATCTTTATATTATATAAAGTAGCAAAGTTGCTATTAATTTTGGAGGGAATTTTGCCGCCCAAAATAAGGGTATAATGGGAATTAATGTGAAAAATAACTGAACTCCCGCCCATGCATCATGTCTACGTTATTAATTTGGTTAAGTTCATTAGTGTCGACGTCATTAATTGGTAAGGTTACTAATTTGGAAGTGGATATCACGGTGGAAATGACTGCCCATATTTTGGGCATTAAAATGCATTAATGTATTGCCAAATTTTAATAATTCCTACTAATTAGACAAAGATATGTACGTATAGAATGTTGAGTAAGACATACGTAGTAGTGAGTATAGAAAGTATAGTAGAGTAAGACAGCCACATATGAAAGAATGGTAAGGTGTGATAACACCCATTTTTATTTATAATACACCTATGAAGTATAAGTACAATTTGAGAAGTAAAAATGATCGCAAAACTTTATCCAATTTGGTATGAGACAACCTTAGTAGGACGAAGGAAGTAATAAAGATAAAGTGTATAATTCGAAGTACTAAATAGATACTCCGTATTAAATAAGGTAAAGTATATGATCTGCCGCATGGGAACAATATTGAAATCTGAAAAGAAAAAAGAACATTCATATAGAGTAGAATGCAAAATGCATATGCCCCTACTAAAATATCACAGTTCCATTTGCAAATTCCTTTTCCAAATTGAAGCTGTTGATCGGAAAAATATCTATCACCGCTTTCTGAAAATCAGGTATAATAATTTTATCACAGTCGTGTAAAAATATTTGTTAATCATGCCTGTCAAAATTGTGAATCTCAATGAAATTCAACCCGGAAGCATTGAATGGAAAATTCGTGTACGTGTGTGATACAATTATGACAAGTTACGTAGTATAAAAAGACCAAATACGTAAGATTACAGTAATTTTTCTAATTGAATTACTTCAAATTATTGTAGAAACCAAAGGAATTACTAAGTATTATTTTTATTACAAATGTGAATAATTATATTTTACCGCAAAATTAGATCACGATCCTAATTTAAATATCTTTAAAATTACACTCTGTCATTCAAAGTGATGAATTATTAATTTGAGCTTAATTGAAACCAAAACAATTACATTAATGAATTAATGTTCCATTATTTGAGTGATTTGGAAAGAATATCTTATTGGCATTTTGTTTTTTATATATGAATGAACTATATCCATCTTAGCAATAAAAATACATATTTACTTTGTATGTTTTAGCAATAGAAATACATATTTGGTCCGTGCATTTTATTTATGGTTGGAAAATTCCATGCGCCATTGGTCCCGTGATCTTAAAGTATTAGTCAAAAGGTTTTGATTCCACTTTTATCATTGATTTCATCATATAGTAGAATTCCTTTCAAATTTCGATTCAGACAATTTCTAATCATCGTTTCATTTTTCATAACGACAAACAAAAGTCACAAGACAATACATCAAATGAGTATATATCTTTCAAAATCTTTTTTAGTCACCATCAATTCTACATTATCATGTCAGGGGTCAATCTCAAAAAGTGGTTTGATTTTTTTTTTTGTGATAGCGAAGATCATGCTATCAACACCACTAATAATATAGTCTATAAAGAAAATTTTGAAATTTTATAATACTTTTTGTAAGGAATAAAAATTTATCATGACTTCTCTGTTTTACAGTTTTGTGAGACCTACTAATAATTATACCATTATTAATTCCATTACCATGTAGTGTTTATTGTTACACCCTATCGTTTATTTTAAATTTTACTTGCAAATTTTTCATATGAACCAAAATTTTATTTTCCTACCGCTACTACGTAGTATTATATAATAATCAAAGCTACAACATATAAACTTTAAAATCTTTTTTTATTTGACAAAGAAACACATTACGTATCATCGTAATAAAATATACTTTGTATTTCAAATAAATTGTTATTCTATTCTAGATAAACCCGTGCATCACACGGGTACCATGTCTAGTGTTAAAAAAACAAGACACTTTTTGTAATCAATAAACTTAAAAAGATACAAATTCAACATTTCTACATTGACACTATGGACCTAAAATATTTCTATATTTCTTTAAAAATATTTTTCTATATTTCAATCGCATGAATGTACAAGACATGTCTTTTAAACGAACAGCTTGAAGTTGTTAGAATTTTGCAGAATTGCAGGCACTGTGATACTGTAAATTTTCGGAGACAGATGAAAGCATTGTTAAATACAGTTGTGTTTCTGAGTGTCAAAACGTTGTATTGTAATTTGCAAATTGTGGAAGGAAGTATAAGATTAGAGGAAAATGGACAAACAATATGTGATATAAGATCATATAATTTGTCAAAGGCCTAGATTTTTTAAGATTGGACGAATCAATAACTTTTAAACCTATGGCAGACTGGCAGAGGCAGCTGCATATTGATCAATGATCCAGTCATCCACACCGGACCACACGTGATTTAATTCATCAAACTTTTGAATGCCCCAAGTTTAGGGTTTGCTATGAGCCTAGAAGCCCACATTAGCTATATAGCATATAAATATATTGCTAACTAGAACCCTCACTAAAGTTCAATTCAAGTGCATTGTACCGAAAGTATACAAACTAATATATCTACACTATATAGGAGCCTGTTTAAAAGTGCTTATGGATACACTAAGGGAGTGTTTGCAATAGCTTAAAAAAACGCTTCTCGACTTTTGGCTTAAAAAAGTTAAAATTAGTGTTTTCAAATGATAACTTCTACTTGAAAACGTGTTTCTCGGCTTTCGTGTGAAAAGTGCTTTTTACTTTTTCTATTACACTAAAAGCACTTATTTTACCAAACACTACCAACTTTTACTTTTCAAAATCATTTTTTTCAAACACTATCAACTTTTACTACTAATCATTTTTTCCAAAATCACTTCCAAAAGTGCTTTTTTTAGCAAAAGCAGTTGCAAACACTCCCTAAAACACTATGAAGCACTTCCGCTGGGGAAAAACACTTTTAGGTGTTTTTGAGTAGAGCTGCTTGCATAAAACCAATCTAAAAAGCATTTGCAAACGCTTTCTAACAAAGGCACGTGTAAACGACCCCTAACGCATACGAGCACAAGCAGGGGATCAGCTATACTAGTAGCTTAGTGTGTGAAATTAAAATATCTATGGAACAAACCTTGTACTCTCTAGTCTCTCTCCGTCCTAAAAAAGTCATGTACTAGGAGTCTGGTTTTAAAAAGTCGACAATAAGTAAAATTCATGTAAGCCAGCAGCTAGAGATTTTATTACTCTAAACAATCTTGGAAATACATTTTAGGGCCACACATGAAAACTGATAACTCATATTGAGTGATGATGATGATTATGATGATGACATGAAAACTGATAACTCATCCGGAAACAGCCTCTCTGTGCTTTAGTACAGGGGTAAGGCTGCGTACATCCGACCCCCCAATACCCCACCGTAGGTGGGAGCCTTAGCGGCACTGGGGTAATGATGATGAAGATACCTTATTTGAGATGACTGAAAATAAAAGTTGTACCTTACTCAAACATGATTTTTTTGGGGCCAGAGAGAGTATTTGTTAACAAAGTGGTTTCCAAATTTCGAAAAAACACACACATAGATTGTTCTGACAAAGTATGAACACCAAAAATTGAAATCAAGGATTACCTGATACTAAAGCACCAGCAGCAACACAAAATGCCCCAACCTGCAGGAGTAATTCCACCCTGCTCACTTCAAGCCTCCTTGAGCTAAAATGTACATGAATTTATTACAGCCGTTAGTACAAGCATTTTCTATTACAAAACATAGAAACATGATTCGCGGTACGGTTCGATACGGGAACGAGGAACGGAAGCGCGGTTCGCTAGATCTAGCGTATCCGATTCGAAGGGGGGTAGGTTCATTTCGGTACGCGTTCGGTACGCGTTCGGTACGGTGTACTATATGTTCGGTACGATGTACCTAATATTTTGGTACTATAATAAAACTGAATTACAGAATAGAGATTTCAACATTGAACAAAAAATTTCATAACATGATTTTTTAACATTATAAAAAAGCAAAAACATTAATATTCAAAGTGTCTAAAGTCAAGTAGAGAGAATAAAGTCAACTGGAGAGGGAAGACTGCTCAGAGTAGTTGGCGTATGAAACAGATCATTTTGCTTAAATTTATATGGAGTAACTGTTATTAGAGGGTAAAATTAATGAGAAGGATCAGAAAACTAAGAGTCTAGTAGCGTGGTTCTAAAACCAAAGATCGTCTTCGTACAGCGTATACACATGGGAAACGAACAGGAAAGTAAGAGTCACAGACCTGTTGGAACTTTGAAAACTGGGAAACGACGATTCACATCTGGATGACGGGAAATGAAGTTTTCATGCCGCGCGACTACTGGGAACGCCGGATAAAGTCGCTGCGAACATCGTTTGGGATCGATTTGAAGATCGATTGGGATCGACGATGAACAGCGACTGGGAACGATAAGACGAGCGTACCCGATAGCGTACCGCAAAGCGACCGGATCGTTTTCGTACCACGATTGGGTACGGAACGATCGGTACGCAGTTCGCGCCTCCTGGAGCGATTTATGTATCTATGTTACAAAACATATAAAAAAAGCAGTCTATTGGTTGGACTTTAAGCCTGTGAAGGGGAAAACTTCACACCCCATACTGATTATTTGGGAACACAATCAACACACACATTCACATCCCATACGCACATGTGTATGTACAGTGTTGGAAACATTCATTTTCATACAAATAGCCCAAGGTCCACCTCCTTGAGCTCAATAATGAATATTTTAGAACACTGCCATTCCATCCTAGTGTATACAGCTGAACTTGTGTTTGTTTGGGATAAAATTGGAAGAAAGGGGAGGGAGAGGAATGACATAGAAAGTATCTTTACCATTGCTTGGTAGTAAGGAAATAAGAGAGAAAGGAATAAATTGTATTTAAACAACTGTGGGTCCCACATTTTTTCCCTATCCACAACTGGGCAGAAAGTGAACGGAAAAGGCTTATATTTCTCTTATTCTCAAGTCCAAACGTACTGAATATTTAAATTTGTTGCTGAACTCATACAAGATTTATAACCCTGGATAATTCACATTGCACAAAAAGGTTGTTACACGTGTGACAATAGTTCTTGACTATAAATCTTGACGAATTTTACATAATACTTTTATAATTATAAATAATAATAATAAAATACTTACATATTTTATTTAATACCTCAAGGATGAATATGTTATTTAAATTTCTTTCATATCAGTTTTCCATCCAAACAAACAAAATATATCATTACTCTTCTATTTCCTTTCCTAATTTTCCTTTCACCCAAACATGTGTGTGGAAGTTTCCAACTTATTTGCTCTCATTCTTCCACTCCATTCGACTCTATTTCCCTCCCTCCAACCAAACAGATCCTAAGTTTCTGCATAACAATTGAAATATATAAGGGAAAATTCTTGAAATAGGAGTGAAAACAGTCTGTAATTCCAAAATAGGATTGTCATGTTTTTATTCCCTAAATAGGAGTAATTACTCTCAAGCTTGGAAAATGTCACCATGTTTAAAGTATGCTAATGCCAAAACATGGCAGTAATTAGCCTTATTTAGGGGATAAAAACATGGCAATAATTAGTCTTATTTAGGGAATATGGCAGTCATATTTTGGAATTAAAAACATTTTTACTCTTATTTAGGGCAAATTTTTAATATATATTTATATCTAAATGCAAGTATCATCCCACATTTTTTCTTGCATGCTCGTATTGCTTGGTAAACTAATTACTTGGCATGAAGCTGTGTTAAAAAAACTTTTTCCCTGTATATTTGAGGCAGGAAAAAAAAAACATTTCTTCCCATTCGAGTTTTGGGGAGTGACTTTTAGCTTTATTCATTTTTCTCTCTTTTTATTTGTAACCTCTTCACGAAAAGGGAACACATGCTTCCAACAAAATGCTGTGTTTAAAAAAAAAAAAGCTAATGGAACATGCGGACCACTCAAAGTCTCAAACCATGTTTATATTTATGAGCTTAAAAAATCAGGAAAACTTTAAGTATCTATGAACCTTTTGGGGACAAAAAAACTTCCTATTCAAGCTTGATTCACTTTTCTCACTTTTTAATTCTATCTTCGCAAAAAGGAAACACTTGCTTCCAATAAAAATGCTTCACATTTACAAAAACTGCTAACGGAACATGAAGAGGAATCGAGGTCTCAAACCATGTTTATATTTAAGAGCTTAAAGAATCGGGAAAACTTGAAGGATCTATGAACCTCAGGTTAACAGCAATCGAGTCTTCCATTTCTTTTGCAGAATCAAGTAGCCTTTCTGCTTGACCATGACAAGATTCACATCTGCATCTCCAAAAATATGATGGTTAAGTAGAATGCAGCTGGCATGGAATTACAATAGATATGACGATAAAATCAATGTTAGATAAAGAACCCATAATAGGAATAAAACATGGACTAAGTTCACAAATAGGACTAACTGTGTTTTGTTCCCAAAAAACAATGGTGGTCTTTTTTGAGGAATTGTCCCTTGTTTTGGTCCTATGTAGGGATTTTTCTCTTAAGTTTATACACAGAAGGGCTATAGCCACAATAACGTCCGTAACATAGTTTTCATGGCGCATGGCGATCACCATGTGATAAGACACAGGATAGTTCAGAACAATGATTGTAGTAATATCAATCCACAATTATCAAGAAATGAGAGAATTAGGGTTTATTGATGATGTGAAATGAACAAGTTGTGAATACAAGCAAGGGGGGGACAGTTCGAGATGCCCAATCTCCAACAGAATAGCCAAACAATCTAACAGCCACCCTACTAGTTCTATAAACTTCTATTTATAGTAAGTGGTCCACGCAGGGACTAAAACAACTGTACAACATAGCAAACAGACTAGTTAGTTAGTACTAACTGCCTTACTCCTCCTCCTTTGATAAACTCTATTAAAAAACTGATCCGGTTGCCTTGCTGCTTGTCTAACATTACTCCCTCCCTGGAAATTCACCTTGTCCTCAAGGTGAAGCTCTGGAAATTGCTCTTTGATCAATAACATAGGTTCCCAAGAATCCTCAAAGCTTGGCAGGTTGCTCCAATGAACCAAAACCTCCAAATTCCCTTCTTTGTCAACTCTTGTATCCAAAATTTCTTCAGGCTCTACCTGCAATTCTAATTCTTCATTCAAACACTTGGGTAGTGGTTGATAGTAGGTAGTGGGGGCAATAGCCTTTTTGAGCAAAGATATATGAAATACAGGATGTATTTTACTATCTTCTGGCAGTTTCAGCTTAAAAGCTACAGAACTAAGCTTCTCAACTACCTCAAATGGGCCATAATATCTCGGACTTAACTTCTGGTTTATCCTTTTAGCTAAACTCCTTAGCTTGTATGGCTGTATCTTCAAATAAACCTTTTCCCCTACCTCCAATTGAACCTCTCTTCTATGCTTGTTGGCTTGCTGTTTCATTTGGTTCTGTGCCTTGGCTAAGTTCTCTTTTAGTTCATCAAGTATGTGATTCCTCTGTGCTGTCAACCTGGACACCTCCTCCACAGCAGTGAGGGTACCCCTAATTACTGCAGGTGGATCTTGCCCAAACAAAGCTTTGTAGGGAGTAAGTTTCAATGCTGCATGATAATTGGTATTATACCAATATTCAGCCCAATGCAACCAGCTGAACCATTTCTTCGGTTTTCTTCCAGTTAAACATCTGAGATATGTTTCTAGGCATCTGTTAACCACCTCAGTCTGGCCATCCGTCTGAGGGTGGTAAGCTGTGCTGTACTTCAATTGGGTTCCAGCTAGTTTGAAAAGTTCTGACCAGAATGCACTTAAGAAAACACTGTCTCTGTCACTTACTATGGTTTTTGGAAAACCATGTAATCTAACCACCTCCTTGATGAATACTTCTGCCACTTCCTTGGCATTATATGGATGTGACAGAGCTAAGAAATGAGCATACTTAGTTAGTCTGTCCACAATTACCAGAATGGTATCCTTTCCTTGAGACTTAGGCAATCCACCTATAAAATCCATGCTGATGTCAGTCCAAATGTTACTAGGAATCGGTAAAGGCTGTAGCAATCCTGCAGGTTTGAGTGCTTGATACTTATTTGTCTGGCAGATCATACATTCTTCCACAAACTTCTTGATATCTTTTCTCATTCCCTGCCAAAAGAAAAGATTAGAGATTCTTTTCATTGTTCGGAAGTAACCAGAGTGTCCTCCAAATGCAGATTCATGATATTCCTTCAATATCTTGTTTATTCTAGTTGACCCCTGTGGCAGAACTAATCTCTTGTTGTAGTATAATAACCCTTTTGTAATCTGAAATTCAGAATGTTGGTCTGGATGTGAAATTACATTCTGAATTAATTCTTTACATTTAGGGTCCGACTTCAATTCTTCTTCCAACCCTTCCCATTCTTGGCATGTTACAATGGATAATGATTGTAACATTGGTCTTCTAGATAAAGCATCAGCAGCCCTGTTCTCAACCCCTGGTCTGTATCTTATTGTAAAGTTATATCCCAGCAGCTTAGAAGTCCATTTCTGTTGTTCTTCTCCCATCAATCTCTGCTCAGTTAGAAATTTAAGGCTCTTTTGATCAGTTAGAATCTCAAATGTTCTTCCTAACAAATAAGGTCTCCACTTTTGGACTGCAAGAACAATTGCCATGAGTTCTCTTTCATAGACAGATCTGTTTTGGTTTCTCTTTGATAATACCTTGCTCATAAATGCAATTGGTCTTCCTTCTTGTGTTAACACTGCTCCCAAACCAGTCCCAGATGCATCCGTCTCAAGGATAAAAGTTTTGTTGAAATTAGGTGTAGCTAGTACTGGTAGTGAAGTCATTGTCTTTTTCAATTCCTCAAAAGCTTGTGTAGCCTTCTCATCCCAATGGAAGCTGTCTTTCTTTAAGAGTTGTGTAAGGGGTAATGCAATTTTACTATACCCCTTCACAAATCTTCTATAGTAACCAGTTAACCCTAAAAAACCCCTTAACTCCTTCAAATTTTTGGGTTCTGGCCACTTAATCATTGCCTCTATCTTAGCAGGGTCAGCTGCCACTCCATTTCCAGATATGATGTGCCCTAAGTAGATCAATTTAGGTTGTCCAAAAGAACATTTTTTAAGGTTAATCACCAACTGATTATCCCTCAAACCAGCTAAAACTGCTCTCAAATGTTCCTGGTGTTCCTCTGAAGTTCTACTATAGACCAATATGTCATCAAAAAATACCAAAGCATATTTTCTCAAATAAGGCCTTAATACCTGATTCATCAAAGCCTGAAAAGTAGATGGTGCGTTTGTTAATCCAAAAGGCATTACTAAATATTCGTAATGACCTTCATGTGTTCTGAATGCTGTCTTTTGTCTGTCCTCCTCCTTCATTCTGATCTGGTGATAACCAGATTTAAGATCCAGTTTGGAAAAAATGTTGGCCCCACCTAGTTCATCAAGCAACTCTTCTATGATGGGTATTGGAAACTTATCAGGGACTGTAATCTTATTTAAAGCTCTGTAGTCCCCACAGAACCTCCATCCTCCATCTTTCTTTCTTGCTAAAAGTATAGGACTGCTATAGGGGCTATTGCTTGGCTGAATAATTCCTTCAGTTAACATTTCTTGTATAATTCTCTCTATTTCAGTCTTCTGATATTGTGGATATCTGTATGGCCTCAGATTAGGTATTTTAGCTCCTTCTTGAATCTTTATAGCATGGTCACAAGCTCTCTTTGGTGGCAGTTTCTTCAATGGTTGTGAAATCTCAGGAAATTCAGTCATTATTTTCTTCCAGGTTTCATCCTCTTCCTTTCTTTCTTGTTCTTTTTGTGTCTTTCCTTCACAGTAGATCAAATACCCATCTCCAGCATCATGTAATATCTGTGTAGTGGTTTTTAGAGAAATCTCCAATGAATTGAACTGTTTATCCCCTTGAATCATCTTATCTTCCCCATTGTCTTCCCACTTTATTGTCTGCTTTTGGAAATTGATCTCAACATCTCCCAAGGTTGTCAGCCAAGCCATTCCAAGTACCAGATCAGTACCTCCCAATTCCAGGATATAGAAATCCTGCTGCACTATGGTATTTTGCAAACATAATGATAATGCTTCACACCTAGCATTATTGCATATCTTGTCCCCGTTCCCTATCTGCACCTTATAACCATTAATGGTACTATAAGGAATCTTCATTCTATCCACCATCTTCTGTGCAATGAAGTTATGTGAGGCTCCACTATCAATCAGCACCTCTACATTTACCTTCCCCCATTCTCCTTTTATCATACCTCTGACTTTGAATGCTCTCAAGGAAGGAATACCTTCTTTGCTCATCAAGGATAACTGCATGGATTTAGATTCCATAATGATCTCTTCTTCTTCCGTATTGGTATCATCTGAATCATCAGAATCCTCCTCTTCTTCTGAATCTTCTACCATGATCAGCTTGTAATTCTTTAGTTTACAAGTATGTTGTTTATTCCACTTGTCTCCACATTTGAAACAAAGTCCTTTTCTGCTTCTGTTCTGATATTCCTCTTGTGACAATTGTGGTCCCACTTTCTTGAATGCAGACGGCTGTATGTCAGTGATGTTCTTCCCCATAGAACTGATCCCAGAAAAATTACTTCTGTTTTCCCTTGCACCTTTACCCCCAGAATACCAAGAGTTTCCAGTCTTGGATTTGTAGTTCTCACCACCAAACTGAGATTTAGAAACATATACACCTTTCTCTTTTCCCCCATATCTGTCTTCCTCCATTCTTTTCAACTGTATTGCATCATTTTTCAATTCTATCAAGGTAGCCTTCTCCATAATCTCAGTTAAAGATTTTGAAACATATAGTTTCAATTCTGCTTTAATTTCATTCTTCAAACCCTTAATGAATATGCCTCTCAACAGATCTCTGTCTTTGTTTTTCTGATGAGAAATCACCATTTCAAATTCATCTCGATATTCTTGTACAGATCCTGTTTGTTTCAGACTTAACATATGATCATATGGGTTCTGAATTAACTCCGGTTGAAACCTACGTATGACAGATTTCTTAAGAGTTTCCCAATCAGTTACTTCAGTTTGACTTTCCCACACATGAAACCAATTTAGAGCTTTATCTTCCATTGCCACCATCGATGCTTCAACCATTTCTTCCTCCTCAATATTATTTAGTCTGAAATATCTTTCCATCCGTATAACCCAATTATATGCACCAGTTCCATTAAACAGGGGTAAATCAATCTTTCTACCCGGTTGTATAGGAAATCTAGGGTTTTTATCTCTGCGTCTGTGATTATGAATATGCGAATGAGTAGAGTTACCTCTGGAAGTGTTCGGACTACTCGATGTTCTCGATCGATGACGTTGTGGTGATCGCGACCTCCTACCTTCGCGATATTGGTTCTGCATGTCCGTCATCCTTCCATTCATTGTTTCGAATTGTCTATTCATCGCTACCATCAGATTCTCCAATCTGTCCTCCATTCTGATTAGCGCCTCATCTGTCGCTAGTTTACCGATCTCCAAGGTTTCCATTCGCTGCTCCATCTTTGCCCTTGTACGAACCATTCACCGAATGGAGAAAAAAAAATTCCGGTACTTTCAGCGACAAAACAGATCTCCAGAATCGATGCTCTGATACCAATGATAAGACACAGGATAGTTCAGAACAATGATTGTAGTAATATCAATCCACAATTATCAAGAAATGAGAGAATTAGGGTTTATTGATGATGTGAAATGAACAAGTTGTGAATACAAGCAAGGGGGGGACAGTTCGAGATGCCCAATCTCCAACAGAATAGCCAAACAATCTAACAGCCACCCTACTAGTTCTATAAACTTCTATTTATAGTAAGTGGTCCACGCGGGGACTAAAACAACTGTACAACATAGCAAACAGACTAGTTAGTTAGTACTAACTGCCTTACTCCTCCTCCTTTGATAAACTCTATTAAAAAACTGATCCGGTTGCCTTGCTGCTTGTCTAACACCATGGCGCATGGCGATCACCATGGCGCATGGCGATCGCCATGGCTCAAAGGCATTTTTCATGGCGCATGGGGATGGTGCATATGGCGCGCGCCATATCTCTCCATTGACTACCATGGTCCGTAAAAACTTTATGCAATACAGGCTACACAGTTTACTTCATATGTGTCGAAACCCTAGTTGTATTGGGATTAGCTCAACTTGTATAGAAACCCTAATGCCACATTCTAGCTATAAATATAGCTGCTAGTATAGTTCTTTCATATTAAGATTCATATTAATAAAATCAGCAGTTCATATACTTCACAATTTGTGAAATTGTTTGCTCTTAAAACTAAAAATGATCATGAATAGACATGCAATTGAAAATATTGACTATAGTGGACAGAACTTGGTGCTTTTTGGGACAGGGGTAATTATTACTTACATAAAACAATGCAAGGTGCATCTAAAATGAATAAGAATATAAGATGTTACCCTGAAGGTTTACTTCTCATGGAACGTTTTTTTGCTGTTACTGTCATACAGCACTAAATTGATTCTATGAGTTCGCAATTGCATGCACAACACGGGATGGTAATTTTCCTCAGTGCTCATTGCAATTAATGGTCTTTTTAATACGGTATTCTATATGCTTGACACATCTACTTCCCAATTATATGTAGTAATTAACCCATTAGAGCTATGCTAACACTAAATTTCAACAAACAATGAAACAGTACTTGGAAATAAAATGATAATAATATTAGGGTTCCATTAAGACAATATAAAGGATTTGAATTTGATAACTGATTCATTGAAGCATTGGCTGGATTTGTTAATGTATAGAATGTTCTAAAGGTATATTATCCTAGTACTTAATTATTGAACACTTAGTATACACACCTATAAATTAGTGAATCCAGATGGCATAAATCAAGGTATATAACTCTATTATTGATTATACGTGCAAACGTACTTTCCTATATATACCTATAAAAAGTGGTTCCAGATGGCAAATATCAAGGACTATATATTGAAGCCACACTTGGGCCATGAATGCACAATAATGATTGCTTAGACATGCAAATGTACTTTGCAGATAAGATGAAAATGCATCCAATAAATACCTTTGAAGATAGTTCTCCAAAAGCATTTCAATTTCCTCCTCTTCTTCTGCAAAATAAAACCGTTTGAAGAGTATTGGATGGATATCTTTAACAAACATATCACAGATTGCAACTTCACAAGCTATCGGTAATGAGGGCCTGAATTCCCATACCCTCTACAATCTGCTTTTCAAGGGGAACAACACATTCCATGTCATCATTTTCCTTCTTCAGGGTACAATCTCTACCCATGATGCAGATAAGACGTATTTCATGAGTATCCTCAAGAATATCAAGCAACATTTGTTTGAGAGAGCCTGCTCTGGAACCTAATTCAACCTTCCAACCAAAAGGATATGTGGAACAGAGGCTTTAGTTGTGTATGTTTAGCTGACAGGTTATGTTGTAGACAATATAGTCAAATGGCATACCAATGATTGCTTGCTGATTCGGAGCTGCTCTAACACATCAGCAGTCAATCTATTAGGCAAAACCTCAAGTAAAGATTGTACCTGCATAAAAAAGACACTTTAATTACTCCCTTTATCAAATTAAAAAGAGGCATCTTTGAGTAATGTGCAAACTTTATATTTTAGTCAACTTAATCAAGGTACAAGCTTTTATAAGTTATAAATGGTGGCGGTTACGACGGATCGCATTGTGATAAAAATATGAAAAATGTAAAAAAGAAACACTGATTTAGTGTGGCTCACCAACTCTGTGTTGGCATATATGGCTCACACAGTGCGTATATATAATTATAATATTATATAGAGTCAAAAGGTAACCCCTAATAAGTGTGTGATCAGATTCGAGGCATATTTACAGGTGTCTATGCTGATAGCCTGGTAAAGCTTGTTCCAAGATTGTTTTGAGTTATTGACTAAAACTGCTTGCTGTGTATGGCTTCAAGCAAAGTTTACTTCATAAATTAAAGATGACTTTTAAAACCAGTCTTCCTTTCTTTGGGACAAAAAGTTCTTGAAAAAGGCTCTTTTTGGACGGAGTCAGTATAAACTATTCAGCAGCAGGCAGACAAACAAACACTCATTCACTGTGCATCAGTATAACTCAACTCACATGAGGTTCCAAACTCCACAGTTTCTGCTCCAATCGATGTATCCTTGAATGTAAGGCTGCTTCAACCACCTAAATAGGCCAATTACAGATGTAAATTTAGAAGCAAAAACATGTACGTAGTATAATTGTATGTATTCCAGTTTTTCCAGTTTTTGTCGATGTCCTTGGAATGACTGAATGAGAGACCAACCTCAAGCACAAACGGCATTGATTGTGCTCCATTCATGTTTTTAGGATTTAATCGAGGTAACAATGCATCTATGAAAGCTTTTCCTCCGCGACTGTGAACATTCAAAAGTGAAATGTGAATTTTCGTACAACGCTGACTCCTATTAAACACAACTTGTTAGGCACATCCAGCAGGGGTATACCTGTTATAGTTGAATATAAGAACACTTTCCTGCATTACTATGGCCCGCAAAGATCCCAGGTTCAGTAGAATTGCATGCTCACGCACCTGGAACAAGGAATTAGAGTCTCAGCAAATAATTAATATCCATAGGAGGAGCTACTGGATTTTCCGAACTTCTGAAGAAGAAGAAAACAGAAAAAATGACAAGTGAACATAAAGAAAGTGAAGTTATGTAGTCGGATGGACCTTCACCAAATCCATGTGAACATATCTCATGTGTTCATATAAGATATGTTGTTGGAAGTAAACCGAGAAGAAATTTCATCCACTATAAACATGCAATACCCACAACTAGTTCCTTACCAGTAAAGCCGGCATGGAATTTATTAACCACAATGAAGGATCAACACTTCGTATATCTCTAGGGCGGAGGCCTGCGGGTAATAACACATTCTTGGATCAGATGCCAAGCAACCAGAGACAGATAAGGAATATCGATGAAGAACGTTATAATGTATTATGTAGAAGGTTTCATGGAAATGATAGTTCAATACAATGGCAAACAATATGAAGTTTTGATCATAGCCACGAGAAACACCAAGAAGGAAAATAAAGAAATAAAAAAAGACTTCTTTATAAAGAAACTCTGAGATGGAGTGTTGTTGAACTTAAATTTATATAATTACACAAAAATGCAGAAAACCGTACAATAGAGATAATTTCACGCACCACTTGACTTCAGCAGGTGTCTTCTGTTTATTTTCCTTGATGAAATCATCCCATTTGACTTTACTTCCACTACCTTCAGAACTCAAAGAAACCAAGTCATTGCAGAGATTTAGCCGTTAATCGCATTTAATTGAAATCAGATAATGAATATAACTTCGACCACAATTTAATATGATGCGTCGAAGTGCATATGCAGATGCTCTAATTACTGTTAGCTTGTGTCTAATGAAGTTCGGTCTCATATGTGCTCCATACATAAATTAGATGAAACAAAAATAAAAATATTTTACGGTAAAAGACCTGGTAAACAGGTTCACGAATGCCGAGGGACAAAGAATCTCCGGTGCCAGTCTTTGAAATGAGCGAACTGTCGGAGAAGTCGGGACGAACCGCATCAACGGAGGCATATTGCGATTGAATCTCATTGTCGTCTTCCCTAACCTCCTCGTCACTGACCGAACTATCCGTTCCGCTCTCCTCCGCAGACTTTGTGAAGCACCTAACGGCTTCAAGAGACGGAAGCTTTCTGGACACGGCTCGGATCTCAGGCGGCCACAGGCCGAAGTTTTTGACACGGAGAATTGAGTAAGAGCCCGCAACGAAAATCCGAACCTGAGAAGCCTTAGCTGGCAAGTGGAGGGGACTGGCAGTCGGAGTTATGGCGGCCATTGTTGGACTACGGAAGCCGACGCCTTCATGTGAGAGATCAGAAAGTGATTTTCAGTGCTCTCTGCTTTTTCCACCTGCCGGCGGCTGATAGTATTTTGTCAATTGTGCACTTCGTATCCATTACAATTTGGGTCTGTTTGCAACAGCTTCTGCTTTTAAAAAAGTGCTTTTCTAAATGAAATGGGGAGAAGTGATTAAATAAAAGTTGATAGTGTTTGAGAAAAAAAGTGATTTTGAAAAGTAAAAGTGGGTAGTGTTTGATAAAATAAGTGCTTTTTGTGTAATAGAAAAAGTAAAAGCACTTTTGACGCGGAAGCCGAGAAAAATAAAAGTTGTAGTGTTTGGGAAAATAAGTGTTTTTTTAAAGCCAAAAGCTGTGAAGTGCTTTTTTAAAAGCAGTTGCAAACCAACCCTTACAAATGTACAAGTTAATTACTACCTCCAAACCTAAAAATCCTTCCCTATTTGACTTGGCATGCCTCTTAAGAGAGTGGAATAAAGTGGAAATGTACGATTGTCACACAAATTGTCCAAAAAGGGAAAGTGAAAAGTATTTTTAGAAACGACCTAAAAAGTAAAGTGGGAAGTATTTTTGAGAACGGGGAGATACAATGTACTGAAAATGGGCATGATTATCGGATTTGATAATGTACGATTTGTGTACACATTTTGTGTACATCAAGAATTATTTATCATGTTATATTAGGGTTGTCATTCCAGTCTGAAAACCAAACTCAACAATAAAAAACTGAATCAAATCCGGACAAACTTGAATGAGATCCGAAAATGAATTGTTTTTTGAGACTTAAAAGGGTTAAAAACAATATTCATTATTAATTCCGCAGCATAGGTAAGCTATAAAACAAATCGAGAAAAGTGTCAGTTTGGTACATTAAGTTGTAAGCGGGGGAGTAAAGAGTACATCAATGTGCAAGTGTGATTTTGAAGTACATTAAATTGCTAAAGTCGTGCTAATTTAGTCCACTGGGCTATTAGGGCGTTTAAAATGCCTAGGTGGCAAAAGGATTACTGATATGGCAAAATAAAAGCCACCTCATGATTGTATTTGGCTCTTCCGGTCGACATTATCTTCCTCGCCCTCCCCTGACTCCCGTAGTCAACTGTTCTCTTCAAGCTGAACACATCAGGTTCACGTTTACTCGTGTCCTCTTTCTCTCGTTGGGTCCTCAACAGCTCCATGGTTCCTCGTTGCGAAACGTCCGCTCAATTTTCTCCACCTCACGCCGGGGCCGCCGGGCGGGTATGAAGCGATTCACGCTTCTCCTCACCAGAAACCAGCGAAAAGCTCCTCGGATCTTCAACACGGAAGCAGATTGGGCGGAGACGGACCCAACAAATTGGACCAGGATCTGAATGATGACCTTCAGCTTCAACGCAACCTCGTCACCTCGACATGCTTGTTCTCAACCTCATGGACGGGGGAGGTGCTCGCAGTCGGTGTATAGCCTTTGAGAGATGAATGGGGGAAGTAGTTTCAGAATGGGCTGAGATCTCACCATTGATGAATTTTGCTTTTGAGCTATTCGATGTCCGTTTACCACCCATGGACGGAGACACGGAGTACATTCAAAGAGCTCTTATGGTGCAAGGAAGAGAAGAAACAAGCTTCTTTACACTCCGGGAATCTATGAAGCCCTTGAAAGAAGTCCCCATCCATTTGTCCTCCGGCCAAATAGAATCGCCAACCTTTCCGGCACCATGTCCAAGGACAACATAGCTGCACCACCGGCGACCGTGAACCCTAGGTGGCAGAGAAGAGAACCACTCTTAACCACACAAACGCTAATACTTGCCACCTAGGTGTTTTTAACGCCCTAATAGCCCAATGGACTAGATTAGCACCACTTTGGCGATTTAATGTACCTCTGAATCCCACTTGCTGATGCACTCTTTATTCCCCCGCTTGCAACTTGGTGTACTAAACTGACACTTTCCTCAAAACAAATCTAAGTTTAACATTTTACAACTTGCAGATGCATTTTGGTAGACGTCTATGCGGGTGACTACATTTTAAACTCAAGTTTGATTCCCGCTCGCTATCATTTTTCATGCTGCTTTAATCCACGCCTTAGAGAAGTTTTTTGAAATTTCATTCAGTTTTTCAATAATCGAACTGAAAGTTTGGTTTCCGAAAAACTGGGTTCATTAATATTCAATTTGGTTCGGGTTAAGGAATTTGTAAAGTCAAAAACTCGTTTCGGTTCGAATTTTCCCCATATCGGTTCGGGAACAAACCGAATCTACCCCTAGTTTGTACACCGCAGAGTAAGTTGTATAAACGATTTTCATAAAGCAAGTAAAGGTGTGACTTATTAATTGAGCACTTATTTGGAGTATCATATCTATTTATGAATACTAAAAGTTCAATATTTGTCTTTTCTTTTATATTGGGTTGTTCTTAAATGATTGTTCTTCTTTCCATTGTTTTATTACTATTATTATTACTACTATTATTACTACTATAATTACTAGTATTATTAATATTATTATTACTATTAATATTATTAGTAACGTAGTAATAGTTTTTTTAGTACTATTATTAGTGCTATTATTATTAAATTACTATTATACTCACTATTATAATTGTTATTAATACTAATATTATTAGTACTATTATTACTACATACTATTATTACAACTAATTTTTTTTTGCAAAAATTATTACAACTATTATTACCATTATTATTACTACTATTACTATCACTCTTATTACTACTGTTATTGTTTTTCACGTGGAGCTTATATGTTTACACATTATTGTTTTAACGTACAATTGACCATGTAAACACGGGTTTTGGAAGATATATGCCCACATGATGCAGAGATTGTCCTTAACATTTGTTTATCGTCATGGCAAATGAAACGACGATTGGGAATTATCATACGAATGAGAATCTTCGAGGTATTTGTCTTAATAGGGCAACTAAATGTAATACATGAAACTTTCCAAATCGAAGCAGTGACAATTTTAATCATAAGTATAAAAATGAACCCTTTTTTTGTAATTCCTATGATGCAATTGGAGCTTATCAGAAGAAACAAATAAATTAAGATAGGTTCTAAATATCTTTAGAAATAAGATCTTTTGTCTCATGGTAGCCTGCTCTAGTCCCCTTAAGAAACTTACGTTATTGGGTAAGCCATTCACTTCATATGTTTCTAGTGATTCATATGGCATCATGAAATGATATAAGTCTTGGATACAACGATCTATTGGACCGTGTTCTTCGACATTGTAGAAATAATATCTGCTTGTGCTGAATATCATTACTTAGACATTTCCAAGTTTTGCTCAAACCACGTGTGACATATACATTTGATTAGACAACATTAATATAGCAAAAAGGAACCTAATATACTCCGAGTTCCCCCAAAACTCGACTCTTGATAGCATCAATGTATTCTTTATCAGTATCTGGTAATCCCAAAGCATTGCAATTGTCTTTTAATGTGGGATACACAATGTTATCGAATTTCAACAAATGATCTTGGTCCCATGACATGGTTCAACAATGTGCGCAAGTCTGTTGCTGGAGGCACAAAATGAAATCTTCAAACTGTGTTCCCCTTTGCCTATAAAGTCATTCATGTCCTGTCTGCTCCCACACAAACTTCGAAGGGAACTAAGCATAGGTTAGACCTCTTGCTTCAGGGTACTTCGCTAACAAATTCCTCAATGGGTGATACTTTTCTTGACATGCGGCTTCATACTAAAACTAAAATCTAGTACTCCCTACATAGTTTATAAGAAAATGAAGAGTATATAAGTCTTTCTTATCTTAAGAGTGTGTTTATACTATCGAAATTAGCTTAATTTGTTTAATATTCAAAAATTACTAAAGCAGTAATGGTTGACACAATTGGATTGACCGAATTATGAAAAATTATATTTAAGATATAATTTATTAATAAAACAAATAAAAATTATATGAAAAAGATAAGACTGTTATGTTTAGCAAACTCAGCCAATTTAGTGATAAAAGTAAATATACTCTTACTTATTTTGATTTAAAAATGATACATCGCGCACAATTAAAAGTTTAACGTTGTCTAAAAATTTGGTCAAAAGGTTGTGTTGGGATATATTATCCCGGCCTATTACTGTTCAGGAGCCCAAGACATTATCCAGTACGGAGCCCGAGCAGCTAGGCCCATTTCGGCCCATTAGGCCCAATATTGGCCCGTTTGGCCCATTAGGGTGGAGAACACCCTTTCCCCTTTGTCTATAAATAGGGAGCTTAGCCTCCATGTAAAGGATCTTTTTCTTCTTCCCCTTCTCACTAGAATAGCTTAGAACTCCATTAATGGGAGCTTCAATACTTGTACTATATAATGGTGAGGAGAGACTAATGAGAATGAGAGGGCTTAGACATTAGCCTAAAAAGTCCCGTGGTTTTCTCCCTTTCGGGTTTCCACGTAAAAACTGAGTGTTCATACATATATATTTACTATATCGTGTTGGATTAAACTCAACACTGAGACTGTCTGGGGGAATCTGTCCAAAAAGATTCATGTGTTCTACACAAATTTCATACGAAAATGCACTGATTTCAACAAAAAAAGAAGAAAAGTTCCCGAACTGTGGTCTTGGGGAGCTCCGGATCTGAGGCGGTAATATGGCTACCAGCAGTACCTGCCCAATCGACCAAGAAAGAAAGAAAGAAGGAAGCGGAAGAAGCGGAGAAGCTATGAAATCTGGGAGGTCCAAATCTGGATTTTTTCCAGATCTGCCCTTGAGGTCGCCGGAGCCGCCGTCACCGCCCTCGCCGGCATGGAACCTCCTGCGAGTGCTGCGACACCGGAGGAAGCTCGCTGCAACATCCCAGCTGTGTCTGACGGCCTCCTCCGAGCCGCACACCACCGTTCATCCTCAGCAGCCAGCTGTTTGTCGCTCATCCACCTCGTTGCTGACGCGACCTGGAAGAATCTCCGCCATTAATGGCGATGGCCAGTTCTTGCCGTTCGGCCTCGGGTCAGCGGACGTGTTACGGCTATCTTCCCAAAGATATGGAGTGTTACGCAGGTCAGTTTCACTTAGTCCTAAGCAGACCACGTCTGCAAGATTAGGCCAAAAGGTGGGCAATCAATGTCCTTGGAGGAATTTTGACCCAAGTCAAAATCGTTGAATGCTAGATGAACGCACGGCTCTTAGAATAAAGCAACCAGCCGGATCCTTCCTTCTCCAAATGGAGTCTTTGGTGGCCTTTTTTCAACGAGCTATGAAGTCCAGCCCATCAGGAGCTAAGTGTCACTTAAATCCTCATCATTTATTAATTAGAGTACTAATTAGGATAATGATATTGTTTTGTTGGAACTTTTATCACCATTATTTATTAGGGACTAAAATATCCCGAAATTAAATAGTGCTGAGCGACGCTCTTGTGATAATTAGTTTTTACCGTCATTTTAACTAATGATTGGTTGTTATGGGCCCGTCGGCCCGCTCCTGATCGGCTTTAATTAGCAAGCGGAGCATACTTGAATGGCCTTTGATAGGAAAGTATCATTGCTATTACCGGTTATATCACTATTATTTATTAGGGATAAATGTCCCGAATTAAATAATGCTGAGCGAGGCTCAAGTGATGGTTAGTTCAGCTAACATTTTATTAAGTATTTAATTTCTGGTGGCCCCGATGGCCCACTCTCGATCAGCTTGATTAGCGATCTGAGCGTCTCCAGAGGGTAGTGCCCCGATGACGCGTTTTAATTTGGGGGGTTACGCATTAGTCCGCACGACACCGACTGCTCGAGCGACGATCGTACCCTAGTACCATCTACGCCATTAGGCGCGAAGTGACTATTGCCAAACGCGGCCTGTGGGGCCCGAAGGCACCAAAGCGCTCGACCTCCTTTTTCCGAGGGCAGTGCGACTAACTTGGGTCTGAGTTGAAAACTCACAGACCGGTGAATATTTCTATGAGACGTTCGGCGGGCTGCTAATTGGCCCCGCCGCGAGCTACTATGTCCATTAACCCCGCACGCTGAGCCGGGCCGAGGGTCACGGTAACCCATAGGCCGGTAATCGTGGGTGTTAGAAAGAAAGCCATGCAGATGGTTATGTGTGTGTACATATTGTCGGGCCGTGCGGCCCGTTACCATGCTTATTGCGCAGCTGGAGCCGCTCGACGCGCTCGAGCGAAATGATTAAAAGACGATCGGCCTAAGTCTCAAAGACGTTTAGGGCCAGCTAAAGCGGAGACCATCACGGCTGAGAGCCGATGGACGAACATCCCCACCCAGAGGTCGAGAGCCTAGAGGAGACCACCACGGTTGAGAACCGTGGGACGAGCATCTCCACCCCAGAGACCGATGGCCTAGGAAGAACACCTAGAGGCCGAGGTCTAGAGGCGAATGCCATGACAAAGAACCGTGAGACGATCATCCATCATTCAGGGGTCGAGGGCCTAGAGGAGACCATCACGGCCGAGGGCCGTGAGACCATCCTTACATCAGGTCGGCCTCCCATTGCCGACACTATGATATCACGACCGGCCTCTCGGCACGGCGTGTGTTCCATACTTGAAGACCGGTCTCGTCCCCGCTCCTCGCGGACGAGGACCGTTGCTTGATTTTCTCAGGTCGGCCTCTCATTGCCGACACCATTAAACCACGACCGGCCTCTCGGTTCGGCGTGCTTATCTTTTGAAGACCGGCCTCGTCCCCGCCCTCGCGGACGAGGACCGTTGCTTGATTTTCTCAGGTCGGCCTCTCATTGCCGACACCATTAAACCACGACCGGCCTCTCGGTTCGGCGTGCTTATCTTTTGAAGACCGGCCTCGTCCCCGCCCTCGCGGACGAGGACCGTTGCTTGATTTTCTCAGATCGGCCTCTCATTGCCGACACTGTCATATCATGTTCGGCCCCCCCGGCCCGGTGTGCTTGTCTTTTGAAGACCGGCCTCGTCCCCGCCACCTCGCGGACGAGGACCGTTGTTTGATTCTTTCAGGTCGGCCTCTCACTGTCGACACTATCATATTATGTTCGGCCTCTCGGCACGACATATTTATCTTTTGAAGACCGGTTTCATCCCCGCGTTGCGTTGGATGAGAGCCGTTGCTCGGATATATCGGCCTGACCAGACACTATTGCCATCTCCATTATCAGGACCGACTGCTCAGCGACATTATGATCATTGTATATCGGCTCCCAATGCCGACCTTTCTTGAGTTAGCGATCGGGCTCACCCCTCCCTTCAGGAGGGTGACCATCGCCTTAGCATGACGACCAGCATTTCCATTGCCTCGTCATTCTATTCATTTTGATATCCCACCACCATTATGTGTGACATCACTTGTGGTCATTCTTAGAACCGATGAACGTATTTTCCTCCCTCAAAAAAAAAAAAAGATGGGGAGAAGGGGAGACGAGATCCTATGAGAGAGGGAGTCTTGACGAGGTATGCCTGATCTTCCTTCGCCGCGTATGACGCACGTCTCCCGACGCGGAGGCTAGTAGGAACGTGGGGGGGGGGGGGGGGGGGGGGCTAGACGTACCAAAGGGAACCTCGGCAAGATAAACCAGTTCCTCCCATGACCCGTGGTTCGACGAACACCTTCTGCCAGAGCAGAAGGCTAGTAGGGCCACGAGCATGGGACGACGAAGCAGGGAATCCCGACGTGGATAAACCGGTTCCTCCTTGCGATCGTTGGATGACCGAACGTCTTCTTCGAAGTAAGAAGATTAGTAGGACCACGACAGGGACGAACGAAGAATAGGGAATCCCGACGTGGATAAACCTGTTCCTCCTTGCGATCGTTGGATGACCGAACGTCTTCTTCGAAGTAAGAAGATTAGTAGGACCACGACAGGGACGAACGAAGAATAGGGAATCCCGACGTGGATAAACCTGTTCCTCCTTGCGATCGTTGGATGACCGAACGTCTTCTTCGAAGTAAGAAGATTAGTAGGACCACGACAGGGACGAACGAAGAATAGGGAATCCCGACGTGGATAAACCTGTTCCTCCTTGCGATCGTTGGATGACCGAACGTCTTCTTCGAAGTAAGAAGATTAGTAGGACCACGACAGGGACGAACGAAGAATAGGGAATCCCGACGTGGGTAAACCTGTTTTTTCTCATAGTTGGGATGACGAACGTCTCCTGCGAAACCAGGAGACCAGTACTCACGAGACTTGGGAAGAACGAAGAACCAGTTCTTTACCGAAGTCTGTGCCTGCCGAGTGTACACTGCTTAGCGGTCCGTACATAGGACCACAGATACGGTAGACGAACGAAGACCAGCTCCATGGATCAGACACGATGGACCAGTTCTTTACCGGAGTCTGTGCGTGCCGAGTGTACACTGCTTAGCGGTCCGTACATAGGACCACGGATACGGTAGACGAACGAAGACTAGCTCCTCAGGCCAGATAGGAGGGACATCACCCAGATTTATTTCAGGCTCACCATTCCTTCCCGGATGGAGTCCTGGCAGACGATCGGCTTCTCACAGCCAATCAGGAGAGAGACTTGACACATCACCAGCACGGCCGAGGGCCGCGAGACGATTATCACTCACCGACAGGCCGAGGGCCATGAGATGATCATCACTATTTTTCTGTATCACGATCGGCCCTTCAGCGCCATCGTGTCCAGATTCACGGTTCAGCTCGCCCATTCCCTTCCAGGATGGCGACGACCGTCTTATGCAGTACGATCGGCCCCTCAGCGCCATCGTACCCAGTTCACGGTTCAGCTCGCCCATTCCCTCCCAGGATGGCGATGAACGTCTCATATGTAGCACGATCAGCGCCTGCGTGCCATCGTGTCTGGCTCATGTTCGGCTCGCCCATCCCTTCCAGGATGACGACAAACATCTCTTATGCAGCACAATCGGCCCTTCCGTGCCATTGTGTCAAGTTCATCTCCGGATCGCCCATTCCTTCTAGGATGGCGATGACCGTCTTATGCAGCACGTCTGCCTCTCAGCGCTGACATGCCCGGTTTATCGATGAGAGCCACCGCTTTCTATCACATCTCACATTCCTTCTCTCATACATTGCACCCATACATTACATGCATTCATGCATTCATGCATCATACATTCATACATACACACGTGCATCATGTTTTGACAGTACCGCGACGTCGGTTTATAGATGCATGGACCTCTAAGCTTCTCCGATTGGAAAGCTCGAGTCAGAGTCCTTTACTCCCGCCTGATGCATTCAGGGGGAGTGTGCCCGTGGAGGAGCACCTTTCGCCCGACCCCGTCGGGAAGGGGGGGGTGCCTCACCAGCAGATTACGTTCAGGAGTGCAGACACCCACTCATATATTATGATTATTCGAAGACACAGTTTCCAGCAAGACAGAGGAAGAGCGCAGGCAAGAGTATACTTTCTCGAGCAGATTCGCACGCTCACTACTCAAGAAACTGGGGGACTTGTGTTGGGATATATTATCCCGGCCTATTACTGTTCAGGAGCCCAAGACATTATCCAGTACAGAGCCTGAGCAGCTAGGCCCATTTCGGCCCATTAGGCCCAATATTGGCCCGTTTGGCCCATTAGGGTGGAGAGCACCCTTTCCCCTTTGTCTATAAATAGGGAGCTTAGCCTCCATGTAAAGGATCTTTTTCTTCTTCCCCTTCTCACTAGAATAGCTTAGAACTCCATTAATGGGAGCTTCAATACTTGTACTATGTAATGGTGAGGAGAGACTAATGAGAATGAGAGAGCTTGGACATTAGCCTAAAAAGTCCCGTGGTTTTCTCCCTTTCGGGTTTCCACGTAAAAACTGAGTGTTCATACATATATATTTACTATATCGTGTTGGATTAAACTCAACAGGTTGATAAGCAGGGGATGGCCAAAGGGGGCCTATGATTCTTTTTCATTAATTTTCATTAATTCTATAAATGTTTTCAAGCACATCAGACTCCATTAAGATTTTAGGCCACATAAAGGATGGAATAATTATGGAATAATTAATTGATTCAAACTATTATCTATACTCCCTCCGTCCCTAATAAAACTTCCAAATAGGTTTGGCACACAGTTTAAGATAGTGAGTATTGTGTGGTGGAGAGTTGTGCAGAAGAGAGAGAAATGTGTAAGAATTGCTGTAAACTACAAATTCTGACAAAAAAGGGAAAGCGGAAGTTTTAATTGGGATGGACGAAAAAGGAAAGTTGGAAGTTTATTTAGGGATGGAGGGAGTATTATTTATTGGGTAATATTAATCCCTAATTGCAACTATTTTGGTCGCACTCATCTTTTTTCTTCGGTCCTATTACGCTTATTTACATATCATATTAGGTAATATTTATCTAATTTTAATTCATTCTTATTTTATCGCAATAAATGTGTGATTTTCTTATTTCTAAAAGATACTAAGACAATGTTAATATGTGTGTATAATTTTATTTCTTATTTAGTTCACCATTAAATAAGTAAGGGTTAACATGTACTTATTATTAATAACAATTATTAGCACAATAGCACACCGTATAATTGATTTCTTAAGAAGATTCTCAGTTTGAGACTTTGAGTAAACAATTGTGCATGTAATATGAATTACGGAGTATCATTTATGATTTTTTATCCAAATATCGCCGAACCAAATATTATGTATACCATATTTATACTATATATGGTACGTCTATGTTTAGGTTGCTTTTTTGATAGGGTGTTTTCTCAAAACACGGGAAAAGTCAGCATGTAGTGCAAAAACACGGGAAAATTGTAGGGTTTTCTAAGAAAACGAAATTCGGATGATGATGTTCCGAATAGATTTAGGGTTATGAGGGAGAGTAGGTTTAGCAGGCATTCGGAAAGCAAAATTCCAAATTTATTAATTTATTTTATGTATTTTTTAAGTATTCGGAACATGGTGTTCCAAATAGAGGTTTTTTAATTATTTGATGCACCATTCGGATGATGCACTTCCAAATCTAACTTTTTTAATTTTTATTTTACCTATAGAAATTAAATTTGATATGTATGAGTAACTATTTTAAGTAGGGGTGGGAAAAACCGAACCGAAACCCGGAAACCGACCTAAATTTTCTGCTTCATCTCATTTCTTGTTTTTCTTTAAGTCATTTTATTTAATTAATTTTTATTAATTATTTTTCTTAGTTTTTCGAAACACACCCTACAGTAATGACCATTAAATATATTTACAGCAACTCTAGTCACATTTATCTATAAATTTTATTTCGTAATATTTTTAAGAAACCTATATTATTTATTTACATGCATCTTAAATAAAATATTAAGATAATTATCTTCTTTGGATTTGAATTGTTGGTGATTTTGGAGACTTATATTGGTGTTATTATTTGCGATTTATATTTTTGATTAATTTTGTTTGAAAATAAGTGTTAAAGTATAAAAGAGCAATGAGATATTTCAAGTTCGGGCTTTAACTGATCCAACCCGAACCCGGACCGAACCCGGGCTACCAAGAATCCGACTCGGACCAAATATAATGGGCTTTGTTCCGGTCCCTAATTTTCATAACCCGAGATCTTCCGGGTAATTTCCGGGTTTAACAAAACCCCGACCCAGACTTGTAACACCGTCCCCAAATATATTTACTTTTGTGTAAATAATGTATTGAACCTTATTAAAGGATTAATGAATTTACGAAGTTGTAAATTTTTTATTATTTTTTTCGCGTGAATAGTAAATTGCACGTGGGACCCACACCGGGAGCGGGGGCCGCCCGACACTCCCGAGACCACATATTTTATTCATCTTGTTCAAGATAATATTTATATAGTGGTGGATATTTTATTTGGGGTCGTGGAAAGGCGCAGGGTTGACCGATTGGGAAAAAGAGGCCCAATTACCGGTACCGACAATTTAACAGATAACAGCCCGAAAATGAATTTCGGAGGCTTATAAATTAAAGTTGGGGAATGTATATTCATTATACATGTCATAATGAGTAAGAGCACATAATATATTTTATTTGACCCGATAAAATAAAATATATTTAAAACAGTCCGAAAAATACAACTTTCGGGGCCGATTGTACACATCGGGACTTAATGGGACGACCTCCCACAAGGGTGGGGGCCACCCCACGTTTTTGTGTGCTCACAATAAACAAGGAGGTGGCTGAGTTGACAAAGGAAGGAGTGGAGGAGGTGCTTTTGGCATCTAAGGTACATGGAGGACCCCCCTCCCTCACTCATTTGTCAATTAAGACAAAAGTGAGACATCCCCTCTCCCTCCAACCATTGAGCTCGACCAAACCATCCAAGGGAGAGAGAAGGAGCTTCAAAATCACCTCCATTGCTGCAAATTTGAGCTCAAGCTTTAGTGCTCAAAGGAAGAAGATTAAAGAGGGAAAAAGTTGGGAAAAGTGTGAACAATTAAGGTAATGACCTTATATTAACTTTTCCTTTATTTGTCTTCCACCATATGAAGTATATATCATATGAAGAACCTTTAGTATGGTTCAATATGTTATAAGTATGGATTTATGGGGTGGAAGATGGTTCTAAGTCCAAGAACGGACTTAGAAGCCAAAACGACCGGTTCACCGGAAAATAACCTTTTTGAGGTTATTTGTATTAATATGGGTTTTATGATTATAAAACCTTGTTAGGCACTTGTAAAGGGTATTTCAAGTGATTTCACAAAGTTGGAAAAAGTCGCCGGAGTTGTCGCCGGAGTTGACCAAGTCGCCGGAGTTTCACCGGAGTTCAACCAAGAAGGGTAGAACTTCTTAACGCTAGTTCAAGGTGAGTGGACGGCTTAATATCTTATAACTTTTGGGTTAATTATGAGATTAACTAAATAAATGTTATATGTGTTCATAATGATGTTTAAAAGATAGTTAAACATGTGATTAGCCAACATTATCAAGTCGTATGAAAAGAATTAATTGATTATGCATGAAATATGATATGAGGATTTATATAAAATGCACATTAGCATGAAGTGTAAAAGAAGCTCAAATGAGTATTATTGACTTAATTATATGATGATTAAGTTGATATGTACAAGGCTTGAATTGGCGGTCAACGACAACGTTGACCGATGGATGATGGATTAATTAATATCGGTTGATGTTAGTTAATTATACATTTATATATATGCATGGCTTTGCATGGATTGTGATACATAAGATTTATGTATTGGATTAGTTATGAGTAACTAAGGATGATATAGACTCTATCTAGGTTGATAGGAGGTTGATCATAGGAAAACTTGGTGGAGGACCCTAGTACTTAAAAAGTACTTAACACTCAAACTTGGTGGAGGACCCTAGGACTTAAAGTCCTTAACACTCAAAACTTGGTGGAGGACCCTAGTACTTAAAAAGTACTTAACACTCAAAACTTGGTGGAGGACCCTAGTACTTACAAGTACTTAACACTCAAAACCTGGTGGAGGACCCTAGGACTTATGAGGCCTTAACACTCACAAACCGGTGGAGTATCCGAGGATTTTGATCCTAAAACTCATAGATTAAGATATACAAATAGGGACAAGGAGGAGTCCTATACACTCATAGGTATATGGGTGGGTTGGGGTTTTTAGTCAAGAATATTGACTGATACTATTTTTCCCAAATAAAATGGTGATCTACGGATCGGATATTTTCCAAGTATATATATACTAATAAGTATTTCATAACTTGGGGGGAAAGACTATCTATTTAAGTATCACCCTATGTTTGGGTCTTATACTTGAAACGCTAGTTATTCTATATTTAGCCTGCTACTCGCTCGGTACTTGTACTGACCCCTTCGGGCCCCCCCCACCATTTTCAGGTTGAAGCTAGGGCTTGCTACTTGCACCTTCTCACGGGTGGTATCATATCGGGAAGACGTGGTTCGTGCTTCCTTATTTTCTTTCAAACTACCGAACACTTGCTGCTCATGGATATTTGTTTTACTATAAACTATTTTTGGGGCTTGCATGCCCATGTTGTTGGCCGGTTGTGGCTCATGACTTACCGTTGAATATTTCCGCTATTCATTGGTTTAAATGTGATGTTGTTATATATGTTTACTACTGAGTATGGATGGATTGTTTTCTAGGACGCCTTGTGTAATTAAGTGAGGTTGACTCGTGGGTGACGTCACTTGATTATACGGCGGTTGTACACGCGCTTGGGTTGCGGTCTGGGGCGTGACAAGACTGGACCGTTCCCACCCCTAATTTTAATATGTACAATTTAAATTTGTAATATTGTAACCCATACAATTTATTTGTTTTTGTAATATTTTTTAAACGCAACTCTTATAAAAAAAATTAAAGGGATGTATCATTTTTATTTTTTTGTTGAATTGTGTTTTCAATGTTGCATTTTTAATTTTGTTTTTCTTCATTCAGAAATTACAATTCCCAATTGACCCGCATTCCCAATTTTCTTTTTCTTTTTTCATTTGGAAAATAGCATTCCAAATTGACCCACCTCCCATTTCCCTTTTCCATTCGGAATACCCCATTCCAAATAGACCCTACCACCTCGCCCTAACTCATTTGGAAAATGGCTTTCCGAATCCCGCTAATTGGAACTCCCGTGTTTTTGCGTGATGTGTTAGAAACTCCCGTGATTTCGGAATTGTCTCTTTTTGATAGATTAGTTGATTAATTTGATATTTAGAGCCCGTTTGGTCATTTGAAGACCTCTTTTTTCGGCTTATCAGGCTTATAAGGCAGCTTTTTTACCAAACATGTACCTTTTACTTTCGCGTGCTGAATTGTGTAATAAGCAGAAAAAGTAAGATTGAAGTTACTTTTCTGGCTGTATTGGCTGAAGTTACTGTAGATGACCATTTTAGCTATTTTTACATGTAATTTTTTCTTTATTTTATTAATAAAATATATTTTTAAAATATTTTTTCTAGAATCAGCAGAATCAGCCAAAACAGCCACTTCAGCCAGAACTTCATAAATTTCAGCAGAATCAGCCAAAACAGCCGATTTTTGTGCTACTAAACGGGCTCTTCATGCTTGTTCGGCTCATTGCGGTTTGGATTACATTTTTAATATATTATATTTATTATTACCTCTATTATTGCCTATGATGGAAACGTCCATATTAAATTAGAGATTTAACCTTATATATAACTTTATTTTACTTTAGGCGAGACTTCGAGTGTGACCGAGTCTATCAAGATTCAATAACATTGATAATCTGAATTAGAAATTTTTCATAGCAGAGTAGAATATGTGTTTGATGAAGAGATCGAGCCTTACCATCATTAACAATATAATGTTCTTATGTTCTTACAGAAATATGCCTTACTCATACAAGTAGTATATGCTACTCCGTATATTTCAGTTGAAAAGCAGATTTAAAGCTTTAATTTTTTAGCTAAGTTTACACAAATTACGGAGTATTTATTTCTTATTGGATTACACGTTAGGATACCTTACTCTTTTTGTTAAACTAATACTATCTACTTCGTATGCCTTATTTAAGTATAGTAGTAGTAATTATAAGTGACAGAATGAATAACGTTCATGTTTCTCCGAGAAAATCCAACTATTTATTTAACTAGTAATTATAAGTGACAGAATGAATAACGTTCATTTTTGTCGAATTGAATGTTGATCCAAATGGAAATTAGATTAGGAGGTCAATCTCCGATCAAATTCTCCTTTTTTTTCACCTTTTTGGGTGCTCATGGTTAAATGGGTGCTCATGGCCGGGACAATGAAGACTCGATGTTGAACACTACTATACTTGAGCCTAGCTTGACACCGAAACAGGTGTAAGATACAAATTCAGTCTTTCTGTTTATTTCCTTATTTGTGAAATATCACCTCTCTCATATGGACTAAAAAGTTGTCTTTGGTTTAGGTACTGACTGTCCTTCCTCTCATCTGACGACCTAGTGACCTTCATCTTCAACATTGCTACAATTTTGCGTTTGTGTTTTGGGTGCTACCCCTCCTGAGAGAATGACGGATCAGCGGGACTTATGTGTTCCTCTTCCCAAAATACGAAGATTCCATTTCGTGGATGGAAAATACGGGAATGCTGCTATAGGTTAAAATATCCGGCTGGTGGGTACTGTAGTATAAATGTATATAGTGCTTGATGCCACGTATTTAATTCATGATGACAATTTCATTCTTTTGTAGTACAAGTAATACTATTCTACGGAGTATAATACTTTTTTGTACTAATGTATACGAGTAATACGTAGCAGCAGTTAATGCAAGATATTCATGCACAATAATTAGGAGTTTAGGACCCAATTGGGTGATCCTTTTTTAAGCTGATCAGTCAGTTTTTTTATCAAATACATTACTTTTGATTTTGCGAGCCGAATTTTTTAATAAATCGAAAAGGTAAGGTTGAAGTTATTTTTATGTTGCATTGGCTGAAATTACCATAAAGTATCATTTTTTGCTATTTTTTCATATAATTTTGATTTAAATTATTAATAACAAATATTTTAAATATAATTTTTTCATGAATCAACAGAATTAGCCAATGAAGCCATTTTAGCCAGAATTTCATAAATTTCAGCAGAATCTGCCAATTGAGCTAATTTTAGTGTTACCAAACAGACTCTAGGTTGTTAGTTACTATTGCTACTAAATTAGTTTATTTACGAATACATATATACCGGAGTACCATGGTTCTAAAAATCACTCTAGGCACCCGATCTACTAGTCCCCCGCCTAGGCGCTAGGCGGTAGTCGGACGCCCCGATTTTAGTCTAGGCGCTCCGACTAATTGATTTGACGCCTAGGTGAATTAGTCAGCCGGCTAAGGCACCTAACTACCCGCCTAGAGCGCTTAATCGGCCGCCTAGGCATCTAGATTCATCGAACATTTTATTTTGCGTTTTATTTTAGTATATTCTATGAGAAATATGTATCTTTAACTAAAAAAAATGTATCTTTAACTCTCACAACACATGTGAAGAAAGCTACTAGTTGTAGATTAAAATAAATACTATATATTCTTACGTGTTATTATTATAATATTATTTATTAATAATTTTTTCGTAGTATTACTTGAATTTAAGAAGTAAGTATGTATAATATGTTATTAAATGTGAAAACTCTTATCATTCATGCATGTTAGTGTGTGTATGTGTGTGTTTATATTTTATATACATATAAACAAAACATTTTTAATAATATATATGCAAAAATATTAATAAAACTATAATTTCTATGTCTCTGATTAATCCCCGCCTAGGCGCCCGCCTAGCCGCCTTGGCGCTGTGTTGGCGCCCGCCTAGCACGTTTTAGAACATTGCGGAGTACTGTTTTGGGACTCTTTTAATAACAATATTGGAATTTTTGCACTATTCACATATTATACTTTGATTACATTTTATTTATTAACATATCACAAGTTAAATTTTAAAAAATATTTTTAAATGCTTCTCATTCAAAATTTTCAAAATCTAGATTTTCAAATATTTTTTACTAATAAGGAATGAAAAATATTAATGATTGATCAAACTTGTGCATTGATAAGCATGAAAAGTGGATTGTTGCCATTAAAAAAGAACGGAGGAAGTATATACCATTGTAGTATTGATATTTTAGTATATGTTGTACTAATCGTACAATAATGAGACAGTTTGGGTGGGATAGACCGAAAAACAAAGATGAGATCATCTTAGCGCGATTGAAGGATTATTAGTTTATTGTTCACATTGCTCTCCCTACTTCTACACTTTCTTCTTCTTCTTCTTGTGCCTGCTCTGCTTCTATTTTTTCTGCTTCACAAAAAAATGTCATTTTGGTTCTCAAAATGACATGAAATGTCATGAAGATGACATTTGCTGCATAAAAAATCTGGCAGTCACTCCTGCTTCTTAACCCTATTAAAAATGACAGAAACGTCATGAAGATGACATTTACAGAAGCACAAATATTGATAGTCACCCCTCCTTCTTTACCTTTTAAAAAATGACATGGAATGTCATGAAGATGACATATACAAACCTAAAAATATGACAATCGCCCCTTCTCCTTTTTCACCTTTTTAAAAATGCCATGTTTGTTCTGAAAATGTCATCGATTTTGTCATTATTACTCTTTTAAACTGTCAACTTTACTCTGAAACTGTAATTAACCTGTAAAGTAAAACTGCCATGTTGATAAAAAATTGTAATGCCACAACAGTGACATTATTTTCAAGTTAGTGTTCAATAACACAACTATTATGGCATTTTCAAATTCAAATCATGAGAAAAATAACAAGAATGGTTTAAAATAAAATAATCAAAATTAATAACAAATGGAAATTCAAAAGAAGAAGAAAAGGGATGAAAGGTGAAAGAAGAGAAAAACCAGAGCATGAGAAGAAGGAGGAGGAGGGGGGGGGGGGGGGAGGAGGAGGAGAAACTCACCTGGACATGTAGCAGGGTCACCATTCATCGTCACCGACACTCATTCCACCGAACTAACATTGATTTGTCGTAGCCGGTATTCATTGTAGAGTTAGCAGCTTGCGAACTCATGCCTAAAGGCTTTGCGGGGAATTTTTGGAATTCCAACCTAGTTTTGGTCCTACAATAACACACGGGAAAGTAGTAGTCCTATTGTGGCGTTTTCCCTATGTTTTGGTCCCATTTTGGAAATTTACTCTACTACAAAAGAATGAAATTGTCATCATGAATTAAATACGTGGCATCAAGCACTATATACATTTATACTACAGTACCCACCAGCCGGATATTTTAACCTATAGCAGCATTCCCGTATTTTCCATCCACGAAATGGAATCTTCGTATTTTGGGAAGAGGAACACATAAGTCCCGCTGATCCGTCATTCTCTGTTATGGGCTTATTTATTTTATTTGTATATTTTATAGCCTTAATTATAAATCAAATGGGCCAAGGGCTTCTTGTACACATGTATATATATTTTACTTCGTTAATGAAAATACACAGTTTTGATTCCTAAACTTTTCCCTCTCGGTTGCCGATCCAACATGGTATCAGAGCGTCGAGGGTCTTGAGCCTCTGCGCACGAACGAAACATCCAGGGCAGTGGAGGAGCAGCACCAGCGTGTTCGACTTCGACCCCTGCCATGGCGGATACATCTTCACCTTATTATCTTGGGTCCGGCGATCAACCCGGGAATGTTATCACACATGTAATTTTCAAAGGAGACAATTATGTGGCTTGGTCTCGAGCTATCACTCTTTCCTTGAAAGCGCGTCGCAAATACGTGTTCGTGGACGGTACCGAAACAAAGCCGACTGACAGAGCGAAATTGCTTGACTGGGACACAGTGAATTCCATGGTGGTGTCTTGGCTACT